TGCAGTTTGGGCACTCGGTCTCTAAAAGGTTCGCCATCACTGGCTTAAATCTTTTAAGAATGAGGTCATGAAAACTATAGCTCAGAATGATGTGCAGCTTGCAATGAATGCCCAAAATAACAAATGGTGTTATTTGAATATGTGCAGAACAAGAGGAAAGCCAAACAATTGGTAAGTGTAATGGTTGGTGAAGATGATGAGATGGCGATGAACAATAGGCTGGACTGCTTACAATAAGTCCTATTTTGCATTTGTCTTTGCCAAAGGTAAAAAATATGGTCCCAAATTGTTGAAGTCATACTGGGCTGAGGGTGGGGTGCAGAAGAGAAATGCAGGTCAAAATTAATTGTTGAGAGAACACCTAGCTTTTTTGAAAGAAAGGGGGTGGAAACTGGGTAGAAATTTCCAGAACTATTAGGTCTAGTGATGGCTTATTGAGGAGAGGGGCACCACCATCAATGCAGGCAGAACCATCTTCCAAACATGAATTCATTATTTCATGGATGTATCCAGATGTCATATCTTGGCAGGCCTTATATAAACAGGAGGGACATGGATGAACAGGACAGATGGCCAATTAACAAGTCCCAAGTAGCCATTCATTTCCTCAGGTGTTACAAAATGAAACATTTCCCAGGTAACAAAATAAGATCATGCCTTACTCAACTAGATTTGTCAAATCAGAGTCCACATTCAAATGGATGTAAGTGACTAGTTGTCAGATTCCTGGAAGTATTATAGTGGCCATGAAGATATTCTTGTGAGCTATTTTCCCCACAGCAATTAATGGGTCACCTCAAAAAGGGTCAGCAAATGCAATAACTGGAAAAATAGATGTGTTAAATCTTCCAATAACATTTACAGATCTAATGAACAATATCTGCTGAGCTGAATAACTTAAGAGCATTGAGATGCAAAAATTCTACTTAGTTAATGGTAGGAAAGTATATTTATACCAAAAAAGAAGAGTTTAGTATGATAGTTAGGGATAATATTTTCCCTAACTAGAAAATAAAAAAAAAACTTAAATTGAACAAATATACATAGCACATATCTGTGCACCCTCATAAATACAGTGTTGCACTATTTATAGAGTATTCAGACCTTACATTGAAAGTTCACTGCACAATATAGCCTCAACAGCTCAGTGCAGAGAATAGTTTTTAAGTCATCTCTTTTGTCATAACAAGAATGAAAGAAGATACCACCTGGGTTGGACTTTTAAAGGAAGAACTTGTGACAAGCAGCCTTGGACTTCAGAGAATTCTTTCTCTTTGCTACAAAGCATTCAAATCTGCAGTATTCTGAGTTTTTCTAGTGTTTCCTCCAATTTTTATTTAAATTGAGAAGATTTCACTTTTTAAAAGAGGCACATAATGCAAATATACTTAATAAAGTTATATTTAATGCAAATATGATACATGTGTTACATTTTCATCGAATAGAATAGAAGAGAACAGAATAGAATAGAATCAAGTAACAGGTCATAGATCATAATCATAGTTACAATCATTAATCATAAGTTAAAAACAACAATTGAAAAATCATAACAAACCAATAGGAGAAGATAATAGGAAAGATGAGAAATGAGACTGCTGTGGGAATTAAGTGTTCAGCAAAGTGATAGTATAAAATACTGTATAAAATACTGTAGTGCAGAGTATATTGGGAATGTCCAGCATTTATTTGCCTTTTTGGAGAAGCAACTTTATAATAAAGGATTACTTACATTTTTTTATAGTCAGGATTGAGGCCAATTGCATTGTCATACTAGTGGATTATCTTTGTCAAGACTTACACAGATGGAGGTAGTGTTTTCCCCTTAATCCTTTTGGATCTTTTAATGTCATGTGACATCATCAATTTGGTTATCCTTATTAATCACATGCAAGAATTGGGGACTGGGGCACTATGTTGCAGTGGTTCCATTCCTTTCCTACTGAACAATTTCAGTTGTAAAGGAGGATAGATCTACCAGGTGGCCACTCAATTCTCTTATTTAGCGTCCGTGTGAAACTGCTCTGAAGAGTCAACTATTGGTTCAGATGTAGTCCTATCTCTTAATAGTAAATCATGGCCTTGTCACTACACCTCCGCTCTGTGCTGGTTTTGACCTATGGAGTGCTAAATGGCTTAAAACAAGGTATTTTCCAGACTCTTGTCTCCAATCAGAACTGATCCATCCTCATGGGAATTGAGAAAAAGGTTCTTAGTTATCATGTACTTCCATGCTGTCAAGGGAGTTGAAGCCAGGAGATAATATTTCCTCAGTAATGACTTGAGCATTGTGGAATAGTTTCTTTTGTGACAGCAGACTGTCCCCTTCCCCCTGAAGACAAAGAATGAGCTGTTGAAGAGGGCTTTTGATTTTTTTCAGCTTTTGTTCTTGTTACTTAAAAATGTTCCTGTTCCTGATACAAATCGATAAATGCTGTTTATGGCTATTGTGGATGTTTTATTATTTTACATCTGCATTATTGCTTTTATTTTTTTTAATAAAATCAATAAATAAATATTTTAGTTATTGTATTATTGTGATCCCTTTAATTACTAATAGCATGGTTATTTTAGCTGTCAGTGATAGATGATAGATATAAAAACTTTAGGAAGCTTTTCCTTTGATATTCTGTGAATGTACATTGAAAGGATTTTGGAGTTTTAGGTCAGAAGTACTGACATTATAGAATTATAACTTAAGTGCCCTAGAAATGGGAGATCAACATTCTGTGAATTAGCCTAGCCAAAGACTAGAGGTCTTGCTTTTAATACCTGAATAGTTGTGGCTTAAAAAAAAAGAACAAAATATAACATTTGGACTACTTGACTTTCCTTTGAGCAACCTGAAGCTGTCCTATGGCACCAAATCCTATGGCACCAAACTGGAATGAAAAGAAAGTTATTGTTCTAGAGCCTATTGAAATATTTAAAATATTCAGGGAGCAGTTCAATTAGTTTTTGATTTATGATGCCACATGTTCTTTTTTTCATGATGTCATTAACATCAGACTCAGCTGGCTTGTTCATCTGTCCTTGTTGAACACAAACACACTAAACAGATGGGGAATTTCGTGGCCACATATGGAATTGTTAATCCTTCATTGTTCTTGTGTCAAACAATCAAAAGAAATCTATTACCCCAAACTAAAAAAGATGACTTTCTAATCATCAGTGAGGAGAGGAGGGAAGATGATAGTTGTTTTGAGTGCTGAAAAGTAAATCAAAATAATAAAGATCTACTTTGAAGCACATACAAGAATGGAAAGCTACAATGGATTTCATCTGTTTTCCCCAACTGCCATTTTCAAATATTCAGTAAAGAAAATGTTTCATGTAAGGCCTCCACATTCCTTGAAATGAAAGTTAGTTTTTGGACTGTAATTAAGCTATTATACTCCAGAGGGTTTTCTACTGGCAAATTCCAGATTTTATCTTGATAAATGTTTGGTTTAATAAATTTTCTAATTCCCTGCAAATTTAAGAACAAAATACTCTGCTTAAGAATAAAAGCTTTTGCCACAAGAATGACATCACTTTTTCCTCTTTTTTTGTACACTATTTGTTCTTTTTTTGTTGTTGGGGTTGAATGTATGCTTTTGTTTTGTTCCATTTTGTTTTGCATTTTACTTTTTATGATAAAACATGTTGATCATGAGGATGCTCAATTTTGGTTTACCTTCCTGATGGCTTTTCAAGGTCAGATATGGTCAACATTTTGTGAAGTGCTCCCTGCCCAGCCTTGGCCTAATAAGATGAAATCCAGGATCCAGAGGGCTATAGATCCCCATCTGTATTCCATCTGCTAAGAGGGATATTTTAATTGGTTTCTTTATAAAAACTATATCTGCAACAAATACTTTTATCAAAGAGCTGGAATTGGCGACTGCAGCTTTTGGAACATTACCTAGTTCAGGGGTTCCCAACAGGGGTGCTCGCAACCCCTGGGGGGTATGAGACAATATTCCAGGGTGTACAAAAACTTGGGTTTTCAAAATAATAGTGTATACGCATAATTTGTTGCCGTTATTTCAAACTTTTATAAGGGGTGCGAGAATATATTAGAAGTGTTCTAGGGCTGCGGGGTATAGAAAAGGTTTGGAACCACTGACCTAGTTCATGTAAGCTGCACCCATTATCAATTATGCAAAGATTATAGTCAGTTAATTTTAGTTTGATAGTATGCAATATAGTACATGAAGAGACTATATCCTGTTATAGATTATAGATAGGGTGTGTATGTGTATATCTGTAGTAACACATTTCCATAAAAGTGAAGATCACAATATATATGCCAAGTCCCATCAAACAATATAACAGGCATGTTTTTCCCCCAAAGAGCTTTGGTTACTGTGGTTTTGCAAGGTTGGTCAGCCTATTCAGTGAAAAAATCCATAATGCCTAAATATCCACTTCTGAAATCTTGCCAAGAAAACTGCAGGGACTTACCCAGATAGTCTTCAGGAGTAAAGGGACGAAAGAGGAAAAGGGAGAGGAAAAAAAAGAATTGACATATTACCACACATCTTATGTAGTATTTTATTACCCTAGGGTAGAAACTGGATTGGATCTTGGTTGAAAAAAATGGATTGCATCTGGATTTATCCAGACAAAATCCAGACAATCACTAGAGGACATCAAGGAATTAAAGAGTTTCTTCAATCCTCAATCTCTTTGCTCTAATCCACTGGTCGTCTAATGCTTGGAGATCAGATATGGTAGTCTTAATGGAAAAAAGGACTGTCTACAATTTCCTCTTCTGTTGCCTTCTTTTTCAAGCCATAAATATCAGAGGATCTTCAGACTCATTTTTAATATACTACTATAAAACAGTCCTAGTTACACAATCAATAAGGTGCAATATTAAAGAGCCAAGAATTCAAGTCAATTATAAAAACTACAAAGCATCTTTGTTTAAATGGGAATTATGAAGACAAACTGCTATATGCAACAACCAATAATAATAATAAAATAAAATACACAACAGGCTATTTTGAACTTATAAAAGTTTTATTCTTGTATCCCTGCTTGACCCAGTTGGTGTAGAGATAATGAAATGGCAAACTAGAAAATTATTTACTGTATTGTTCTCATTAGATAAAACTATCAATAATTAGTTCCAGTGATCACTAGTGAATATCTCCAATTACAATCATGTGTAAAAATAATCATGAATGTGACAGCTCTTAATAAGTAATAACATTAACATATAACCTCCATATAATATTTTGAGTTGTGATCCAGCCCCTTGAAATGAGAAAACACTGCTTAAAGTTAAAAAAACAAAAAGCAAAACAGAAACAAATTAATATAATTTCATAGATGCTTCAAACAGGGCTGACAGCTCTTCTTCTGTTTGAGGGCGAGGGGATAATTTAGTCACTCTTTCCTATAAGAAGAAAAAGACATTCTGTAAAGACAACTTTACATTCTGTAAAGTTCTAGGCAAAATCAATGGCTAGGTAGAATACACATCACAGATAAGATCTGGCACAATGAAAACTTCATTAGACAATCTGCCTCGGGCAGTAATCCTACTAATATACATTCAGTAATTTTATAATACATGATATTGGTATTTCAGTACTAAGGCTACAATCTTATTTCTTTTATAATAAAGACCTTTTTAATTAAGTGGAGTTTACTTTCGAGTAAATAGAGAAACCAGGATTCTGTGCTGTTAGCAAGCCCATTATGACATCATGGCAGATAATGCAAAAGATGGAGAAAAAAAGACTATTGGAGAGGAGATGATGATTTGGGGCATTGTTTCATTCAATTTCTCATAATGCTTGTTGCTGTTACTAAACATATAAATATATGTATAGAATGCTCTTTTTGAATATTAGATTCTGATGGATGTCTACAGTTCAGCAGTTACATTACTGTTCTTTTTTAGCCATGTGCTGAACAAACAACCACCTACATTGGATCTAAAGAGCTATGTAACAGCTATGAATGTTCATTGGAAATATGGACTGTGTTGTGAATTGTTCTGAGACTCTGGAAAGTTTCAAAAGTAAGTTATGACATAAAATATATGTGACATAGAAAAATATATCAGGTGTCCTAAGGAAAATATCTTACGTGTCTCCTAAGGAAAACTTTGCCTCATACTAACAAAATTTAATGATCAATCTGATTGTCAGAACTGGATGTAATGAACACAGCAAAAATAACAAAAACCTCATACTGAAGCTAATAGGTTTAAGGAATTTGAGGCCCTTCAGATGTTGGTGACTTATAGCACTCAATATCCCAAGATACACTGCTAGTGATCAACAATGATGGCCTATAGATTTCCCATTTGTGACCCTGAAAGAATCAGTAATAGCTTCATGTATTTTTCCTCATAACTTCATTTAACTCATATACATATATATATACACAGTTGTTTGTTATCAAATGTTGCAATAAGACAGCCATTTTCTGAAAATAAGATTATCATTAAATGTCCCTGGATAAGCAAATGTTTACTTTTTTTCTTTTTACTCTCTTATTGAGAGAGAACATCTATGCAAAAAAAAGCCCTATAATAACGTTGTTTATAAACTGCTACTAGAAGAAACAAAAAATATTCCTAGAGCCAGCATGTAAATATGACCAATTAAGATCTGGTGGTTATTTTCAAAGAAACAGATCTTGCAATCTGTTCTACCTGAGGCAGAGTGCCTTTGACTAAAGCAGGAATATCCATTTTTGAATAACCCAGGGCAGCTAAGCCATCATCAACACTGAGATCAAATAAAAATTCCCGGAGAATGTCTGCCAAAATAAGCCCAGCATCCTTCATCTTGGCATTACTGATGTTAGCTCCTAAAATAAAAAAGAAATATCAAGTCTGTAAAGAAATAGTGTTGTAACTTATCATAACATTGAAACCTCATCGACATATATCTCTACACACTAAGTTATTTCTCTAAGAACAATACCAACTTAAAGTTCATGAAATCATTTCTCAATTAAAGTGGTTAAAAATATAGTCTGAGCTAAAGTGGGGAACAAAATGAGAGATCAACTTAGCTGCCGTGAAAAATAGTTTCTTTGCTATTTTTGCATTTAATAAGATCTATTATTTGGAAGCTGCCCAACCTAAGTTAAAATTTCCAGATATTTAGAATTTTCATTCTGAATCAGGTACGCTAGCTGGAGGTAATGGCAGCCAGACAGGTGAGCAGGGATGGCTGCTGAAGTCTTGTTTAGAAGAAGGCCACATTCAGCATTCCATTGTGGTTTTGTTCTGTAACTTTAGAGAATTTAATTCTAACTAATTTAATTTAAATTTAAATCTAACTCCTGTCAACATTCTCAAATTAATATCTTTTCCCCTTGCCTCTTTGACCTATATTCTTTCATGTCTTATTTTTCTTTACCAAGGCAAGCTAAGTCAAGCTCAGTGCTGATACAAAGCAAGATGGAAGCTTGTGTCTCCTGTCCTTTACTCACACTAAACTTTCTGAAAGAGTAGCATACAATTAAATTATAAAGTTCAACGCTATCAGGAAATGTATGGCCAACACGAAGTTGAATTTTAAAAGTGAATTAGACATACCCATAGAGGTTGAGCTATTAACACTGCAATGTAACATGCAACATAGAATTATACAGACAACATATTTTAAAAGCTTGGGGAACATTAAGGAGCACAAGGGAAGTGGGCTATTCTCTTCCTATCTTACTTGTGTTCTTCTGGAATATAGGTACCTGATTTTCTAGGCTGGATGAAATGAGCCATTGATCTGACCCAGCCATCCTCTTCAGGCATTCTTAAGGCATTGCAATCAAAATAAATTGAATGTCTTTACATAACATCAGCATTGATCAGGCTAATTTCTGTTACCAGGAGCAATATTAATGCCCTTCCTTATATCTGTTCCGGTATCCTCCTCAGATTAAATGAGAACAGCATTTTTCATTTCTTAGGTAATTTCCAAAGTCAAATTGCCAGGAAGGGCAAACATTGTCTCCATCTTTTCTGACAGATTTTTTTTTTAAATTATGACTTTTATCAACAGACTCATACCCATGATTTGGGCAGCCTCCAAGTGGCGCTCTGGACACATTGGTGCTGTGAAGGTAAACACTGCTGGAGAGGTGAGGATGACTGAAAGACCATGTGGCTGAAGGAAAGGAAAGCACAGCACATTTTATTTAGGCAACTTATATTACTTATAATATCAACAGAATTCACTGAAAAATGATAGTAATAAATTTATATCATTATAGACAAAGGACTAATGGGTATATTGAATTGTTACCACCAAAGAATGATCCACATTATAATCCTTTGCTTTATAATTCTTCACCAAACCGGAAATTGGATAAGACATGCCATGGCTGGAGAGAACAAAGAACCTTAATTAGTACCAAATTATGGAATAAAGAAATCCTGTAAACAATTTGGACAGATAAAAGTTAATAATAAGGTAATTGTCCAGAAAAAGGTACAGAAAAAATATCTGTGAGTGCCTCACCTCCCAGTCTTCTCAGCCAAAGTTTGTTTTCATTTCAGTTGTGCAAAGGGACTTTTAATAATGGTGATATAATCAAAACCCAAATGAATTTCCCTATGTTGTTTATTTTGAAGCCTTTCGATTTTTTCCCAAGCATTTATGTTAGTGCAAATAAAAATGATGTGCTTAACTTACCAAAGATGTACACCAGCATTTCCAAACCCCATGCCAGCGAAAGCACTTGCCAGATGCATGTTAAATCTTGCTTCTTTATCTTCTGGATTCTTTATGGCTCTGCCCATAATAACAATATTTTATTCAAGGAAGCAGATATATTCATATGTAGAAGAGTTCTTGTAGTATTAACAAGTTATTCCTCTTCATTTTTTCATAGATAATAAACTCCATCACTAGCTTTGCTATATAGAAATGAGGATAAGTGATGGTTGTAGCATTGTTAGGTACCATAGCTTCTGATGGGAAATGCTCTGCAAGTAGGAATGGACAGCAACAGACTATCCAAACAACTTATTTGATCTATAGAAATAGCTTCCTGGGCACTCATTTTATCAGAAAATGGATAAAAGATCCAGTGAACTGAGGGTGCTTCTTCATCTACCTACATATATTGATAGAACGTTTTGTGGAATCCTTGATGAGTGGAAAGGAAGGTTATTTACATTCCTTGTTCCCTGAAGAAAGGATGTTACAACTATCACTATCAATATTCAAAATGTACATGTTGGAGAAGAAACTCAAACTATCTTGATCAAGAGTGTGATGCATTGCATTTGTTCTGAGTTAGTATCATGAACGTTTTGTGTTCTTGCTTAGTAAGGAGGACTGTGAGTATCCAACTTTTGTGATATGTCAGATTTGCTTAGTTAGGCTTTGTAACAGCCAGTCTTTCAGTAATTTGATGCACTGCACAATCCTCAAAAATCTGGCTGGGAACAATGGGATTTGTAATCTAACATATCCAGACAGCACCATATTACTGCAAACTGTTTTATTTGTTCTTTATAAACTTATTTCAGGAAGTAGCCTGCTTATTATTAATTCTCTTTGTCATTATTTACTACTGGTGAAGAATATTATAGGACTTAAGAATCCATACAAGGATAAAAGGTCATTCGAAGATCTGTACCTCTTTAAGTATTTAGAAACAATCCGTAATGCATGCACAGCCCAGACATCACTGATGGGGTTGCTTCCTTGATAAGCTGGCCGGTTCACTGGGTTTGAAGGACAAGGGCTGCGCTGGTTGTAGGGAAGAGCAGTGTAGGATTCAAGAGCATGGCTGGCAGGTTGAATGGGGAAGTGGGGAGAAATACATAATACACTTGAATGTATGTATTGTCTTCTATAAGGATTTGCAAATCAATATTATTGGGAAAGCAGAGGATCAGTGACTGTTCCTGACCTTTTTCAAATGGTAAAATGGTAACCTATCTTCATACTTAGACTTAGTGCAACTTTTCCCCAAATACCACAGAAGTCATACATCGTACTGAGCTACCAATAAACCACATAGAGGATTTGGTTAGGAGAGAATGGATGTTTTCCTAATGCTTCTTTTATGACTCTTCAGGACAAAAATATTCCCTCATAACTCATTAAGGTCAATTTAAACAAAAGACATTGAAGTACAGTATAATTCAATAAAAGATAACTAGGTCTTGTTCTGATGGGGTCAAACAGACTACTTATTCCACCTTTTTGTCCTCAGAGAGACTTCTGTCTATATGCATGGAAAAACAGAGAATTAGAGCTGGAACTGTAGTTAATGAGGCAAAAACTAGACCTCATTCCCAATTAAATATGATTATTTTGCTTGTATGTAAGGCAAAAGCAATACACTTCATGATTCCATTTGAGAGCCTCAACACCACAACCTGCTGGATGTACAAACTATACCCAAGGGTCAGCCAACCTGTTTCACTGAAACTCTGTTTTGCTTCTCTTCTAAAATGCTTCCCATGCTTTCCCCCTACCTGAGTTGCCTCTTATCAGACCATTTCCTAGGCTATATATTTTGCTCATGTCTCCCAAGGTCATTCCCACATATAGTTTCATCACAATATGGTCCTAAATTGTGAAGTTATGTAATATATAATTAAAAGGTTGTATAAAATATACTTACCAAAGCACATCAAACCCACTATTAGCTGCCACCCGCTCTGGCATATGGAGAGTGTGTAATGGGTCAATAATACCCAAAGAAGGCTTAATGGATCTAGATGCAATGCCTAAATATAGAAATATATATATGTATACCTAGAAATGAGAGCTTTCTAAATAGACTTTGCAATAATGGTTAAAATGATTTAGACTATGCAAAGTATTTGACACTTTCAAGTAATTAAGAATATTACTGAGATTTAAATAAAATTTCAGAATTTTTTTAAAGAAAGCCAAGAGGTATTATAAAATAAAAATATATGCATATGTACAACCCTTACCAGTTTTTACTTTCAGTTCTTTGAAATCAAAAATAGCAACTCCAGTGGTTTCACTTCCAGTTCCAGCTGTTGTAGGAACTTTGAAAAAGAGCAAATTAAATTTAATAGTTCATTCAGCTGCACATCATTACACACACAATAACGTACATCAGAGGTGGGGAGTGTGCTTCCCTCAGGTACTTTTGGTTTATGACTATATTACCCCAAAAGCTGTAGCAGCTACATCTAGAATTCAATAGCACATATATGATTAAAAGTTATTTACTCATCAGTAAAACCAACCAATTCATGGTGAATTATCAAACAGCCTATAAAAGGTTGTCAGTTGTTATATTATATCCCAGCATCTGCCTTAGGAGCAATATAATACCATTATGTAGAATCATTATGGGGAAAAAAAGTGAAAACTAGGGGAGAGTGAGAGTAAACCCTAGAGCAGAGTAGCCTATTATAATGAAAAGTATCTGTTATCCTTAGAAAGGTTCTCTAGCTATGTGAGTATTTCCTTGGTGTGATTTCCCCAAATAACTCAGAGAATCAGATCCAGTTTACAAAACCAATTCAAGTAATGATATGAGAACTTAAACCTATCACACAAGCTCTATTGTTTTACAATCAACCCCCCAATCCAGAGGTTTTCCTTACCTGCTATCAGAGGTTTGAGGTGGACTGTAACAGGCTTGCTTTTTCCAATAGGAGCATTGACGTAATCTAAGAAATCTGATTTTGGACTTGATGCATAGAGATTAGCAGCTTTACAAGTATCTATGACTGAACCCCCGCCTACGGCAACATAGGAATCAAACTCCCCCCTTTTGGCAAACTCAATGGCATCTAGGAAACTTGAAATGAAAAAACATATTTTACACTTATTCAACTCACAATTTATAAAGTATCATAATGTGTTTAACCCCTCCCCCCTAGGCTAGGAGTCATAGTAATATCTAGAGTGCACAGCTTCTCCATCTCTGCCTAATTATTCCTGTAGGCTGCACAAACATAGGAAAGAATAAATACCTTTGGTCTGTGGGCTCCACTCTTACATTATCATAGATTTGGAAGCTTATACCATTGACTGTCAGAGAATCCAACACTGCTCTCATGGGAGGAAGCTGACAAAGATTCTTATCTGTCATTACACAAACTTTTTTGGCACCCCAATTCTGCAAATCCTATAGTAAATGAAAATGTAGTTAAAACAAATACAGTGAAGGGGGGGAGAGACAAATCTGAAAATGGCCTTTCATCATAAAATGCTAAATATACAAATTGGTAGTTGGCTGCTCATTGTAGGACTCTCAAATTATCTCTCACTAACTTTGATCTTTATATGGATTTCTAAAATGAGAAGATTAATTAACAGATTAATATAGTCTTAAAATATATCTATTGTATCGTCTTTTCCAATTGGATGCCTTCCAGTTTTGCTGGGATTACAACCTCAGAAATTTCCTATATTGGTTGGGAATTCTTGGGAATATAGTCCCAATGCATCTTGGAGGGCACCAGTTGAGGAAGCTGTGTTACTGAAAAATCTAGTCTTTATCAGCTGGGTTGAGAAACTGGATCTAAATCAAAATAGTTCAAAATTGAAAACTATTGCTTAGATTACAAATACTTAATTTTCACCATTCCCCCCCCCCTTTTCAACTTTATTTCCTCATAATATTTAGTATCTATTGAGTACTGTGTTTTCCCCAAAATAAGACCAGGTCTTATTTTTTTTTTTTGCCTCCAAAAGAGGTACTGGGTCTTATTTTTGGGAGCTCCAGCAGGTCCACTTCTTCTTTCCGGAAAGTCTATGCAGTTGAGTACCGAGCTATGGATTCAATCCATAGCTTGGTCCTTGGCTGCAGGGGTCTTGCAGAACTGAGCTATGGATTTAAATCCATAACTCGGTTTTGGCTGCACACGCCTTCTGGAAAGGTCTGTGACTTTGAAAGTAGGCCCGGCTACAGAAGAAGCCTCAGAAGAAGTGAACTGGTGAAGAGGTGCAAGGTAAGTGGGTGCGGGATGCGCGGGGCAGAACCACACCCCTACCTCTGCCCTAGCTTGATTTTTAAGTGTGTGTCTCGCCCCAAAACTAGGGCTTTTTAGGGTAGGGCTTATATTAGGCCCACTCCCAAAAATCAAGCTAGGGGTAGCCCTTACTTTTGAGGAACCACGATACTTATAGTAGTTTTACAGCTTATGGACAGTTTTCTTTTGTCCATACATTTAGTTATTTTAGCTATGCAATGCAGGATTAGTACTCAGAAAACTGAGATCACCCTTAGTATAGAAACTGATTTATCTGAATATAATAATTAATTCCTTGACTACAATGTTGCAAAAACCCAAAGGAACTTTTTCCAGAGTATCTCCATATGTATTCGATTTCAAATCTTGCAATCCTTAGCTGACCTAGCCAAAAAGATATTTTAGAGTTCTGTTTTATGTGATATAGATATAATGCATGTGAAATTCTTCCTCCTTTTCTAAAAAGAATTAAGTAACCGCTTTCTTGAAATATTAGAGACTATACTATACCATTCCCACTTCTTTAGTAACTCCCTCTCCATATCGGATATTGGAAACAGCCATCTGGAAAAGTCAAGAAAAATATATTTCAGTAAAAATAGTTTATGAAAGTATACACACAAAAGTTACTTTTTAAAATGGAAGTGTTCCTTTCAACAAGTAGCAGTTTGTTTACTGTCTTTACCTCAAAGGCATAGTCTGTTTTCCCCAAAGCAATGTCTTTAGTACCTGGAATGAAAACAATGGAGTTAGCTTGCTGTTTAGTTTATGGAAAATCACAGAAAATCTACTGGAATAGGTATTGCATTTGGGGTTCTATAATGTTTTAAGAATTTCACCTGAGATGGAGGCAAATCTATAAAATACCATCCCTGTCATGGAAACTGAAAAGACATATAACAGCCATCATAAAGGCATTTCCACCATTGGCATGATGACTCTCTACTACCTTTTTCAATTTATTTTCTGATATTCTAATACTCCAAGGGATTCAACTTTTTAGGTACTATTTTTAATTTTAATAACACCTCTGGGCCTAAGACTGACACTTTGTAGTCTGCCATCTTCCCATTTAATTTAATTTAATTTTAAAAGAATATTCACAAAGATCAGCTAAGTCAGGGAACCTGGAAGGCACAAAAGAAGTGTGAGCAGGCACATTAATGTCCATGGTATTAGCTTAGCTTGGCCATTCTAAATGTGTATTGGGGGGCACTAATAGAACATCATACACAAATCCCCCTGCCTCTAAACTATATGTCAATATTAAGCAGGCTTAATATTGGCTTAACACTCTACTGGAGTATACTATGTTTCCAATAATGGATTAGTTTTTCTCTCCTCTTCCATATTTGCACTTCCAAATATGTCATTATTTCTGGATCTAGCTATATTTAGAGTAGACCCATTGATAGAAATAGTACTCACCTTTATACTAACCACCTTTATAATAATTTTGCTTTCTAGCTAAGTCTAGAGCCAATCTGGCCTATTTTTTTCCAGAATGCAGCACACAAAGTAAGAAATCCACCCATCCATCCACCATCTCCTATACAAAAAGTGAGACATTGGTTCCCTTGCCCAGTCAAACCATTTCTATCTGGAAACTGCATTCAATATTTAGTTTCTGAATTTATGGCCAAGCAGTTGAGCCATGATAATAAGCCTATTAATAAGCCTTGGGGTACAGTGAAGGGATGACCCCAATAATTAATATAGAAACATTTCTGTTTTCTCTATCTGCACTTATGCCTGTTGTCTTTGGGTTGCTTGTTATGCTCTTTCTCATCAGTTCTGCTCACGGTTGGCTTACTCTAATGTCTGAGTCTGCAATAGTTTCTATGATTAATTTGACATCCCAACAACATGTCCAAGCCACTTCCACTATTTTCTTTGTATGATACAATAGAAATCCTGCTATTATATTATCTGGTAGAGCTAAGCTTTTGTTAAAGACTTTATTGGTCTTGAAAAATTATATATATTGTTCTCTTTGGAACATGTGTATTTTTGAAACATAAAATGTTTCTGAAGAGGAGTTGCAATAAAGCACTCTTTTATCATCTCATTTATTACTCTGGTTTAATATTTATTTTTTGAAATTTGTATAGAATGCCTTTTCATTAAATTATGCAAAGTGGCAGGAAGAGCAAAAGCAAAATAATATACCCATACTCTCTCAGCCCAGCCCACCTCACAGGGTTGTTGTGTGGAAAATAGGAGGAGGAAGGTATATGAAGCATGTTCATCACCTTGTTATTTATAAATAATAATAAAGGCAGGAAATAATCAAATAAATAAAAACAAAATAAATAAACAGCAAGTTTTGCTTTGTAAATGACCAGCTTCAACTACTCATATTGTTTGAACTGATTGTTTTAATTGTAACCTGCTTCGTTTTAAGTGGAAGCTGTATAGAAATTTCGCAATTAAACAAATTATTTAATTCAACAATACATGAATCAAACAAGAATTATTGTAATATATATGTGTTGCTCTTCCCTCTAGGCAGCTTATATGTGGATCTGAATGATCTCATTTATATACTGATTGATCCCACATTTTCTAACATCCACCACTGCCATAGGATTGGGTGCTCCTCAACTATTCACCGATTCAAAGATGAACATGGTAAGAACACAGCCAAATTGCTACCCTCCCTCTCCCCCACAAATGTAATAAGTGAGTCTATATTTTTTCTCAGGATGTCCAGAGTTTATTTTCCTAGAATCATAGAGTTGATGAATTAGCAATTCAGCTGCAATCAAAGGATAAAATTAAGCCTGCCTTCCCTCATACTTCTAACCTGCCCAAGAAGCAAAATGTTCTAGATGGATTACAGAGTTAAACCATTAGAGATGACTCTTAACAAAACTTTAGAATGTGGAACTTTGCAATGGAGTAATTGGGTTGGGGTTTTTTTTTTTTGCTTTGTTCTGTAACTCTGATTTTTTTCTTTAATTCCCTATTCTAGTCAGCAATTTCTTCTGATATTTAAGCTAAGCTGATAGTGAAAAATACAGGTAATCCTTGGTTAATGACTGTCCTACTTATGTAGTAACTGTTTAAAATTATGATGATACTGAAAAAGTAACTTTATGACTGGTGCTCAAACTTGTTACCATTGCAGTATCCCCACTGTTACATGATTGCAATTCAGGTGCTTTGCAACTGGCACACATTTATGACAATCACAGTGTCCCCTGCCCCCGGTCAGGTGATCAGCATTTGTGAGCTTCACAGCTGACTTTCAACAAGCAAAGTCAGTGGAGAAGCTGGCAGTAAGACCACAAGTCATAGTAACATGATATTTCACTTAACAGCTGTGGTTGATTCACTATTGTAAGTCCGGCACAATAACATGTTTCACTTAACAACATCACTTAGGGATTGAATTGTCAGTCCCAATTGTGGTCATTAAATGAAGACTACCTGTATAATTATTATGCATAACGTTATTATGTATAAAAACATAGTATTTTAATATATAATTAAAAAATAACAGCATTTGAGGAAACAGTACATCCTACATATATTTCATTGTATGAATGTCCAATCAGGAGGGTTTGTTTCTTCAGTTTTGACTCAAAGAAGCATATATTCTAAGATTTCAACCTGCACCTCCTCTAAACTCTTAGACACTGTGCAATTCATCTAGGTAACTGACCATGTGGAACGAAAAGCACTTTCTCCCAATAAGGCCAGGCCTTCCTGGACAAGCATTATCCCCAAATGTAAAGGTTCTAATACAGCACCAGACACAGCATGACAATTTGCTGACAATGTGCTGTCAATCAATCCTTAGATTTTAACTCTTGAAAAATATACTGACCTGGTTTACTTGGTAAAATAATTACTGTACATAATAGTCATTTAATATTTGTAGACCTTGGAACAGGGAATAATTAATGTACTGACACAGATACACACACAAAACAACAGTTCACCTTGACTGTAAGTGTGAGAATGAGCTGGACACATGCATCTATTGAAAAGAAAAAAGGAAAATGATTACTGTAACGAAGTATTGAAAGGAAATATCAACTTTGTATATAGAAATAATTGATAGCTTTAATTCACAAGCACATCCTGCCACCTAGTGGCAATTACTTTTTATTGAAATGTCAATGATTGTATAATATCACAATCTAATCTGAATGTAAATTTAAACAGGGCTTAAAGTGAGGTAATTTAAATTCATTTGCAATGTAAGATTTTATCCCCAGTTATTTATTACATCTATTAATGGCAGTTTATCTTTGCTATATTTTACCTTTTATTTTCTAAATTAGTCATAGGATTAACAGGTTATTAAGACTTTAAAGAACCTTTCTGAGCACACCATTCTAAGGCTAAGAGTAGCCTAGCCCTCCTAACCATGTTTGTAGAACAGTTTCATTGGCTCCTACGGATCTTATTTACAAGGTGGTGCATATAATTTAAAGCTACTTATTCAATTACTGAATTCTTACGTGTTTATTATTTTGCATAGGCTTGTTGCTCCTGGACCTGTGCACTACCTAGAATCTTTTAAAACTGAGGCAATGTAAACATTTTATACAACAAACATTAATTCATAGTCAATTACTTTGTATCAACCTAAAAAAAACAGGATTCAATAAATATGACTGTCTCTCATGTCAACACTTTCCACCTTTCTCTAGTCCATTTACACCTGCACATTTTTGAAGTAATATCATTCAGTTATTAAAAATGCATTGCTCTCCTCCAATAGAGATATTTACATGAGTTTTATTTATATTTTTAAAAAGGAAAAATTACATAGGAAAATATCTTGATGCTGAGCAATTACTAATTGGTTTCATTTTTCTTCAGTGAAAAAATGTTAGTATGGCATTTTAATTACTATATTTTATATTTCAATATTGCATCCCCCCCCCCCAAAAAAATATTGCAATTCTATCCAGAGTGCATATGCTGCAGAGGGTAGCTACACATTCAGTACATGAATAATTTTAAATAAGTTTTGTTTCCATTTGTAAATTACAGCTTTTCTATGTGTTGCTGCTCAGTTTCACTATGCACCGAAGTCCATTTCTTTTTTTTTCTTTTCTCTTTTTTTTTGTATTTACTTCAAAGATAATTGTTACATATAAACCAAAGTCCATTTCTGTGCTTGATCAAATAACTTTCTGAAACAGAGACTAGCATTCTGCCTGTCTCTCTCTTAGCAGGACGCTAGATGGAAATGAGTAAATTAAGGTATCAGCTTCCAAAGATAATTATCCCCGAACTTGGCTTTAGGACCTGTAGCATTCTCAAGTCTTTTCTTACAAGGAAGGTTTGCTGCGGTTTTGTTTTTCTTAACGCCGTAAAGAAACGAAGCTTCCAAGCCTGATTCAAAATTTCTTGCAAAGTAAACCAATCTGCTTTTGCCAGACGCTCCCAAACGAAGCTTCCAAGTCTGATTCAAATTTCGTGGAAAGTAAACCACGCTGCTTTTGCCAGACGCTCCCATAAGAAGCAAGAAACTAAGGCACAAACACTCACGCTGCCAGGTGCAGCTGTTTCAGCAAACGAGCCACCTTCTCGCGTCCTCCTCCTGCCATGACTTCTGCAGCAATGCTTGGGATAGCAAGGGACGACGGGAAAGCGAAGTTAGGACAAATTGAGTAAAGAGAAAGGAAGAAATGGCTGTTCCTATGGTGGGCTGAGAAGCGGAATGGGTTTGGGACCGAGGTCCGGAACAGTATAAGCGATGCGTTCATCTTTTTCAGACTGTTGGACGCTAAAACTTTAGACCGAGTTGGTGAATATCTAACCCTTTTCATCTAGCGTTTTCCCACAGGTGCTGGGTCCGCTTTAATATCTTAACTGACACTGAGTGTATTACAGTACCACGACACATATTAAACCACAAACTAGCCAGCCATATGTAAACTATTTTCTTATCTCAGCTGATGGCTTAGCTTATGGTTCATTGTGCTGCGTAACCCCAGCAAAATTGGATTGCATAAACCATGGTTAAGCATTGGTATTATGAATGCTGTTAACAAAATCTTGTGTTCTTTGGAGGTATAGGCTGCTTCTTAGCTCATGCAAAAAAAAAATTGTGCCTATACATAGAAGGGGTTGATTCACATGTGGGGATATTGTAGGGCCAGAAAATTGGACTGCTAATTGTCTAGCCCCTTATTTGGGATTTGTAGTGTTTTTAGCATCTCTACAGTAATAGTAAGCACTTTTGAGTTGAAGTTATTTACTGTACTTAAATATATTGTGCATATACTCTTTGGGTATAAAGGTAGAATATAAATAAAATAATGGACATGAAGGTTAGTTTTATAAACACCAATTTTCTTATATATACAGAAATGAGAAAAGCTATTGGTAACCCTTAATTTTACAGGTATGTTTGCTGTCTTGAGTTACTGTATATAAATTATTTGCAATGTGTGGAAAGCTGACATTTTATAGAATGCCTAGGAAATCTATAGAATGCATAACTTTTTAGGCTCTCGACCTTTTCTTCACCAGACACCTTTTGAATACCTTTTGTGGCCATGGACCATGGCCGCAGACCCCCAAGACTTAACTCAAGATTTAAATCATGACAGTTCTTCAAGCCTTCGCAGATCCCCATGATGACATTGTGGACCCCCAGGTTGAGACCCACTGCTATACACCTTCCCTAGGCATTGTATATAATACCTAGGCATCATGCATATTGGCAAGAACTATTTAGGCAGAGTCATGAAAAGGATTAGGGTTAGGTAATCCTAACCCTTTATTGAAAAGACATATATGAAAATGAAAAAAGAAACGCAAAATAAAGTACAGGACTTTCTTACTGGAAAAAAAAAACAGAGAAAAAGACCAATACTTGTTGCAACAAGGAAGGCTAGAATGGCATTTTAGCAGGAGTATTCTATATTTTGCTGCTTTGGCTTTTGGTATTGCATAGAATGCCTTAGAAAATGTATAAAATATTAAGGCTTTCATATTTTGATGTCCTATTTTTAGCATTCTATAAATTTCCTAGACATTCTATACAATGCCTAATTTCACACATTGACAGTAACATATATAAAAAAGGTGGGATTAAAAAAAATCTAGATTTCTTAAAAAATAGCATACACCATTCTTAATTCTATACAACCAACACTTTTTCATACAATGTATTATTCTAATAAAATTATATCCCACCCTCCAAGGAAAGTTTTATATAAAGTAGCATATTTTTATGTTCACAGAGACAATCTGTCATTTTTTTAAATACTGGTATTTAAATACACAACCAATTTTAGATTCATGTTTAATGAGAAACATAAATCAATATTAATATCAATGAAGTGGTACAACTAGTATTGATCACTTTGTAGATTTAATTTTTTAAAAAAAGAATCCTTAGGCTCTGGTCACCAAAAACCTCAAGATTAATTTGCAAGATGTGGTTTTTAAAACTCATTCAAAGAATATTTTATTTCAAAGTATAAAAGTGGGTATGAATAGTTTAAATATCTGTATTTGTTACCCATGTTTCACTTGAATTCCCACTTGTGCAAGTAGTGCATGAACTGCAGGTGTGCTTGTTGACCACTCACATAAATGGAAATGCACGCACCCATGCTTGCTTGCCACTTGCATGGAACTATCCTCTCTCCTCCCTCCCTCTTCTTCCCTCCCCCCCAGTCTGCAAAACTGCAAAGGTTTGGGAGCTGGGCTAGAGCATTGAATAGAATTTCTTACCACACACACCTATATCTAATTTGTTTTAAAATAAAATTAGCCAAATCTAATGTTAATTGTAGATTATGGTAATATAGAGACGGGCCTTCTGTTGCTGCTTTCTGTGATATACTAGGCCCTATTATACATTTAGTCCATCTTTTAAAAACATATAAAAAATTATGCTCACCTTTCCCAACTATTGACTCCATCTAACATTTGTTTTTAATGGATTTTATATTCCTGTAAATCACTTTAGGATTTTTAACATATAAAGCATATACATGTTTTTAATAAAGTTGGGCTTGTTGGGAAGAAGTTACCATGGTGATGATTAAATTTAAGATTTTATGACTCCCTGTTCTTAAGAGCAGCAGAAAAACAACTTACATAAGAAAACCATAATTGTTTTTTTTTAATATCTTCAATCTTGCTGTAGTGGGCATGTACATATATCCATACACATACCCCGATACGGAATCTACAATTTTTTTGATATCAGGATTCATAGTGTCAAAATGATGAAAATGGTATTTTGATGAGACAAATTTGACATTTTGTATGCGTTGAGATGTTAACGCATATAAAAGTCAGATACCATGAAGTAAACACAATATTCTTATAGAGATTTGCCTTCATCCTGGCTGACAATTGATATACTGTAATTCAGATACATTCAAAAGAAATACAGAAAAATAACACTGCAGCTCATCTCCTGAGAGGTATCCATTTCAATTCTCATTTAAAAGAAACGAGGCATATTAGGACTTTATTATAAACAAAACAAGTCCTTCTACTTCAACTCCTTTAAAGTCTTATTCTTTGAAGTCATTCCAATTCATAGTAAAGGCATTGTCTGAATTGTACATCTAATATCACATTTCTTCAAGTGAATAGACTCATTCAAAGGTAACTTTACATGCTGTTTTTATTGCTAATGTCTTTATACACTCTTTAGTCAAGTCCCACAAAGTTCTTTTGGGGTTAAAGGCCAATGTTAAGTTAGAATAATATTTAACTTAGCAAATCCATACTGTGTTGCAGCCTTATGTAAAATAAACTGCTTCAGACTGCTATTTAGCTGGGATAGCAATGTAACCCCACACAACGAAAGTTTATTTTCTTTTCCTTTTGCTGTTGATGCTTCCAGGTCCCCCCTGATTCCCTCTACGCCCAGCTCCTGCGCTTCTCTTGCTCCTGGCGTTTCCGGACCTCTGCTGCTGTCGTCGACCTCTCTTGCCCCGCTGGTCGCGCCTTTTGCCTTTGCCTCTGGCTGCTTCGGCTTCCTCTTCGCGGAGCTGCTTGTTGACCGCACGGGTCAGGTTCAGGAGCGGCTTCTTGCTACTCAGGCTGCGGGCTAACTCCAGATGCCGCTTCTTCTCCCCTTCAAGGTCTCCCAGCAGCGGCTGGAAGCTACGCTTCTTTCCGCGGGCTGTGTTAGTCTGCGCGACGGCGGGCTCCTTGGGAAGGCGAGGCTGGAAGCGGCCGCGGGAGGCGGTGGAGACGCGGGCGAGAGCGGAGACGCGGCCCATCTCGGCCCGGTCTTGGTGGCCCGTCGGGTGCAGGTCGGCCGCCACCCGGCCCCGGTGAGCGCGCGCCAGGTTCCGCAGGCGATTGAGCTCGTTGCGCGCCACCCGCTCCCGCTTCTCCTGGCGCCGCTTGGCGAACTGGTCCTGCATCGGGTCGGCCGAGTCCGGCACTTCCAAGAGCCAGTCGCGGGAGGGATCTTCGCCAGCTCGGCGGTAACCCCAGCGCCGCCGCCACTCTTTGGCGGCTTCGTCCCAGACCAACGTGCCACGCTTCTTGCGCGTCGGGCGAATGCCTTTGAGGCGTGCGAACTGCTCCCATTTTGTGAGCGGTCGAGGTTTGGGCAGCGGCTTTTCCCTGGGTAAGCGCGTTGTGGGCTCAGGCAGGCGGGCCACCACTGGCCCCGCGCCCCCTTCCACCCGCTCTGACGGCTGCGCCCACAGCTGGCCCACCAGCAACTGAGTGTTATCCCGGGCCAAAGCGCGCAGGAGAGCCTCGCGCTCCGAGGAGACTCGCGCAAGGGCACGCGGAGCCGGATTTTTATCCACCGCCAGTAAGTTACCCACGTCGAACTCCAACTCCAGCTCCTTATGCACCGCCACGCTGCGCTGGGTCTCCGCCTCGCGCTCTTCGGCGCGCGCCAGCAAGTCCTCCACAAGAAAGGTAGCCATGCCCACCAGCACTTCGCACGTGGCGAAAAGGCACTCTCCTTTTCCTTTTCCCACCCCGGCTCCTAGAAAGGGTCAAGCAGACTACTTCCGGAGCGAAGCTACATAAGTTCCGGTTGTGTCTTCCGCGGGGTCGTTGTATTACTACTATTGGAAGCCAGGGCTCCCGACTGACAACAGTTTCATGGAGTATGGGTGTATGGAATCCTGGGGGATATGGTTCTCCGTGGTTAGGGAAGATAGCTAAAAGAAGGGCCTCTCGTTCTTTCAGTGGTTCTCGTAGTTTCAAATATAACGAGGGATTTACTGTATGTTAGTCGCCTTGGTAATTTTTGAACAGAAAGACAAAACCTAAAAAAAGGGGATGAAAAGATTTATCGGTTCGCTTTGTGCACTACATATTCACTATGCTGTGTTATATTAACAGCTTGCAGGATCTTTGGAATTGTCTGAACATAATACAGTTTTCAGGAATGTTGGAGTTTTGTTGCACCCTTAACATCTGTAATAGTATTGATACGATTGAGGGAAGTTAGCCCACAGAAGGAAATATTAAAAAGGCAGGAAAATATTTTTTTTTCACCAAAAGGATTTTTAAAAGCATTTTTTGAAAAGCAGAAATCAAACCTGGCCCCAAATTCATCTCTTTGCCCCAAGCAGTAGCTAGCCTTATACAAATGCAGATGTAAGACCATCAGGAAGGTTGGAGCCAGGAAACTCAAGAAAGACAAAAGAAATTCTTAAGAGTCATTAACCCCATCCCCAGGGAAGCAGGAGATGACTTTTGGGACATAATAGGACTAACCATTACCATCAAGTAATACCAGAGAGGCACACCTGGGCTCAGGTCAGAATACGTGACACAGGAAATAGCCTCAAAGTTCATGCCACAGGAACAGGAAGACTTCCAAACAAAAAGCTAAAGCGGGTATAAAAAGCTACTGGCCATGTGCTCAGTCTCTTCTCTCCTCATTCCTGAAGAACCATGTTTCTGCTTCTGCAATAAACTAACCATCTTCCCAAAGCAGTCGCCATGTTGATTATTTAATAATAATAATAATAATAATGATGATAATATTCCCGGCTTGGATGAACCAGGATGAAGACTTACTTCTGACCCGATGATACAGAAAGGTTCCTAGAACAGATGAAGCATGGTACATACATTTGAAGTAGAAAACACTTTCAGAACGATTTTGATCATCTTACAAATATAAGGCCCCACTGGCTTCATACCTATGAAGATTATATCACTGTAATTTTAAAGGCTGGTAAGGATCCTATCCATTACATAAATTGATTATGTGCCATGAAGTTGTTTTCGATTCCTAATAACTACATAGGTTTTCTGTCCCTAACTTCTCCTTTCAAGTCTAATGGTGTGCTTAAATCTTGCATGTTTAGTTTTCCTACAGAATATTAATCCTTCAGCTCATGCAATTACCTGATGGGAGCAAGAGAAAGAGGCCTCTTTAGGCAATATTTTCAGTAACAAAGAGTGCCATTGATGTTTCTTTTTCTTTGAAGTAAATAGAAGCAAGAATTTGGATTCTGATAACAACAGAAGCAAGAAAGTGGATTCTGATAAGAATCAGTTTAAAGCGACCAGATGCGAGAACTGCTCAGAAAGTGAACTCTAGTAATTAAAAAACTCATAAAAATGTAAAAAAACCCCCACAGTTGTGAGTTTTCTTCACTACTAATCAAAATGGAGGTAGAACTCAACAAGATTATTGTCCGTTTCCTCTAATTTGTAATATGTTTTTGGAACTTCTATCATGTCTTAAGAGACAAATTCATGGAATTTGGAGAATTTGTAACTGAATTTGAATTTAAGATATTGGATACTATAAGATGTTTTTCTCCAATAAAAATACAATCGTTATTTAAAATTTAGAAAGTATATTTATATGGTTGTATTCTGTGTAATAAATACATAAACTGGAGTAAGTAGTATTATGTTAAAGTTCTGACAACTCTTTAGATTTTGTATTTTGTCCAGAAGCCATACCCACAGAAAAGCATCCAGATTAGTAGATAAGAACATTTGAAAACATTGTCCAGATGAAATTTGAAACAGTTGTGTGTTAACAACCCCCTCCAAATTTACAAAACTGAAAATTATTTATATAGTATCTAAATTTACGTGACAAGGTTCACTAGAACCACTATAAAGATCATAAAGTAAGTCCGAATAAAAACCTTGTTATGACAATTTATGGTGTTCTACCATGACACGGAACTTTTGAGTTTAAAAGAAATGTTGTCTTAACTATAAAACTTGAACTCCTCAATTGATTTAAAATTCTTCTGACTAGACTCCAGATCAGCATAATGGGCAGTATGTAGTTAAAATGCTGCTTGACTCAATATGCCCTAATGGTCTTTTGCGAAATGCTACATGTATCCTCTTGGGACCAGCTTATGCATGTTTAAGTTCAACTATATTTAGCAAAATATTGAACTGGAATTGGAATGTTTGTTTTCTATTACATAAATATTTCATATTGGAAAACTGGTTCAAAATAACTTACAGTACTAATGTTAGTTTTTGTAAAGAGCCAGGTTATGTAAGTCCTTCCTATAAGCTGCAGGGTTACCTGCAGAATGCAAACACGAATGGAGGGGAAAAATGGAGTCAGGGCAACCTCTACCCCAGTAATGGCGAACCTTTTAGAGACCGAGTGCCCAAACTGCAACCCAAACCCCACTTATTTATTGCCGGGTGCAGGTGGGCGTGGCCCGCTGGGTGGGCGTGGCTGTGGTGGTCATGGAAGATTGGGTGGGAGTGGCCAAGGTGGGCGTGATCACCTCAATGTTGCTCATGGGGAGGGACGTTTGTGGGGGCCGGGCAGGGTTGGGGGAGATCCAGGGGGTCTCTGCCAGGTGGGGCGGTGGGCAGGAGGCTCGTCCTGCAGGGTGAGGCAAGGCAGGGCAGGGCAGGGGTGCCATTGTCACAGGGCAAGGTGTGGCGGGCAGGGGCGGCTGCTGCCTGACACCATCGACCTCTGCACACAGAGGTCAGTGAGCGCATGGGTGCTGGGATGCATATGGCCATGTGGGACCTTGGCGAGTTAGCGGGCGGCTAGTTGAAGAGGGACGGTTGCCATCTCCAAGGCATGGCCTGTGTGCCCACAGAGAAGGCTCTGAGTGCCGCCTCTGACACGCGTGCCATAGGTTCGCCACCACTGCTCTACCCTCTTATAGTCCTTCTCATTTGTTGCCTAGCATTATTGGCCTAAATTAGAGCTATTCCTTCAAGTGAGTTACTTTACATTAGCACCTCTACTCCTTTCCCATTAAGCACTGAATAATCCCAGTCAATATGTATTGCTGAAGTTTTTTGTACTTTTTCATGAATAAAGATTTAATGGATGAATTGTTCTTAAAGTCATTCACAATAATCCATATACAATCAAGGCGCCCCAAATCTAGTGCATAAATTACATGATTTTTTTTTAGAAACTTAATGAATTAAATGCATTGCTATGGTAATTTTGATCTGGAATGCCACATCCCTTCCCACTGTGGATAATATTAACTATAATATTAAGATTGTAATAGATTTATTTGGAACCAATATCTTAGTTTTTTTAATATTTCCATTTCTCTGGTACTTGCTAATCATGATTTGTGTGAACTAATCATGTAAAAGTAAGAATTGGTTCAGTATCTGAATTGTCCAGAGGAGAAAATACATTTTTCAAAGGAGAAAGGAAGAATCTGTTGAGTTAAATCTATTTGCCAGGACAGTGTTTCTCATTGTCAACAGCTTAAAGATGTGTAGACTTCAATTCCTAGAATTCCCCATCCAGCATACAATAGAGTCCTAATCTACTATTCTTAGAGGATTTGGAGGGATGATGAATTATATTTTCACAGAAGCAGTATAGGCTATAGATGCAATATCAGTTTCAGGAGAAATAGAAACAGACCTTCTTCAGTGAAATTGGCCTAAACAATGGAATTATTTTATAATTATGGTATGCCTAGCATTCTTTCCTCTTCTAACCTGGCTTCAATGTTTATATCTGCTGCTTACTCAGGCATATTCACTATAATCTCTCTTCAGGCTGAAACCTAGAACTGTAATAAGCGAAACCACCCCAGAATTTGAGTAGCTTCAGAAAGAGATTCTGAGAAATAAATAAACCCAGCCTATGAACTATGCTTTAAATATGCTTGTAAAAATAGAAATTCTTGCTTATCTACTCGCCCACTCTCAAAAAGCTCATGACATAAGTATCATTGCAAACATGCATGTTTGGAAAAGCAGAAAAAAAGAGGAGGCAGAGAAAAGTACTTCATAAAAACGTTTGACAGGATTAAAAGGTGAATGAGGACGAGGACCTCTCATAGGCAAACAAATTGAATGATTACATTTCCTTCACTCCAAAGCTCTGCACAACATCCTTGACCAGTACATTTTTTTCCTGATTAGTAAAATAGGTATGGGAGCAAACGATGGATATTCAGAAGTTCTATTGACTTATTGATACTACTGTGTAATCTTTTTATCGGGGTGGGTGAAATCACAACTAAAAGTCAAGTAATAATATATATGAGAGTTTGGTGTGAGCTGTGTGGTGTGGTTATTGTGGTAGTATCTGAATCCTCAACTCTTTGTGGTAGTATCTGAATCCTCAACTCTTTGAGGTAGGATAAACTGCCAAACTCTCTCTGTTACTTAATTCTGCCACTTCTAGCTGATCTAGCAATTTCGGTACTTCACCAAATCCATAATATTCTACACAGTATTTTTTAATATGGACACTGAGGTATGCAGTATCTTTATTATGTTGACATTTGACATTAGGTGTTAGACATTGTAGGACTGGTTATTATAGCTAATTTTAGGTAGAGAAGCCCCATTTTGTTGACAAACCTTCATTTTGCTTTTAGATGTTTTCTCTTTGGCCGCTCCTTTTTGCTCATCCTTTTGCCCTAAAATTCTTGGAAGGCTACATGATAGTCTTATCAAGGAACTCATACCAGGCTAACAG